TAAGAAGCAGAAAGTTAGCGGCCATCCAGGTCTTTATGTCTTTAAGACATTCCTGCAGTTTAACTCATTGGTGTGTGTTATCTGGCTTCATCGGCGTCATCTGCATAGCATCATCCACAACTATTTTCTGTTGCGGATGATAAAGGATTCAGAAAGTTTATTCATGCAGTGAATCCAATGCAATTGTATACAATTCCAAGCAGGAAAATTTGCACGTGCTTCAGAGTTTGTACGTGCTTTGTCTCTAGGGGGCCACCGTAAATATACTTTTATTCATTCACTCCACATAAAATGCAATAAATATATTATAAAATACAGAAATCAACAATTTACATTTCAACTTTTAACTATTTAAAAGCCTTCACATCAAACATTATGTTAACAGTCATGTTTCTTGGTTTGACATTAATGTAAATGGGGTCAAATTGACCTTATTGGCCCCTAAGAAACTCAGGGTGACCCATTCAAACTCAGTGTTCTCAGCCTCATTTGAAATACTGATGTGGTTCTGCTAGAGTTGAAGATGTCATGGGATGCGGCCTTTGCTAGGCATTCCCAGCACACCCTCACTATCTGGTTAGGTGAACCAGGCCTGCTCAGCATCCTCCCCCACCATCTGATCCAACTCACCACCAGGTGGTTATCAGTTGACAGCTCAGCTCTTGTCTTTACAAGACATACAGCTGCACATCTGGTGACACCATTACAAAATTATGGCTGTGCATTTGTGACCTGGGGTGTCTTGGTGTCATGTGCACTTATGGACATGGTGTTCATTATAGACAAACTGTGATTCTGTGCACAAAAGTCCAATAACAGACTATCACTCAGGTTCAGATCAGGCCAGCCATGTAACTCAGTTACTTTTAAAAATGAGTTGACACATCACTGTAAAAAACAAAACAAATATACTGTTTATGCACTTGGTATTCAAAATCAATGTATTGTTTGTTTTAACAGCACAAACTCTCTCAAGTTGCAGAAACTCCCAATTAGTGGAGGTTATACCTGATACTTGGGAGTGCAGCCTTTTCTAAAGTCATACAAATATCCAGTAATTAATTCATTCTTATTAAAAAGCTGTCATGACAGCCATTATTTCTGACCCTGTAAACAGCCATAAACAAACCTGTCACCATGACTGTAATGAAGATGGATGATAAGATGTAGCCAGTTTTGTCTAATAATAGATTAATTACCATGTTGACATATTATATATGTTATGTTATGTTATAATATACAGACTGTGAGCTGCTGTCAGAGTCTCTGCTGGAAATAAATGAGTGAGGGACTCACCGAGGAGGAGGAGCAGAGGGGTGGCTGCTGGCTTCATGGTGTCTGGATGTAGACTGAGCACGTGGGCTCTGAGCTACGGAGAGATACCCGCTTTCATCACTTCCTGTTCTCACGTCAGCGTGCTGCTGTGTGTCCGGCTCACAAAGGTCCTTCATGAAGTGTCCCAGCTGTCCTTCTCAGTCCATCACAGCTCAGTGTGTGAAAGCAGCACCTCAGAGAGCACAGGCTGACTATGGCTCTGCTCATTAAAGACCCTACCAGAGCAAACCCAACAATCATATGACCCTCTATGAGCAGTCGTTCAGCGATAGTAGGATGTTTGATTAATTTAGTTATTGGAGTGAGCCCA